CAGTCTCTTCCATCTTCTCCGATCGCTTTCCCAGTAGTGGAAGATGAAATTTCTTCCCATAGAGGTAATCTTCTATCTGCATCCTCCAGTATCCAAAATCCGTGCCGTCGAACTTCTCGATCCCTGAAACCTTCACTTCGTCTCCGGTCATTGTTCTTCCTCAAATCTGAACTGGGGCTCTGATACCATTTGTTATGAAAAAACGACGATAATAAAGCGAAAAATAGATCTAGAAAAACGACACAAGATTTACGTGGTTCGGCAAATTGTCTACGTCCACGGAGCTGTAGAGGATTTTATTAAATTTGAGGATTACACCGTCGAGCGTCTCGACGTTACAAGAAAAATTCTCTCCTTTCTCTCTCCTCTCCTCTCTCCTCTCTCCCTCCTTTTTCTTCCTCCCTTCTCTCTCTCTTTCTCTCAAGCCACAGCCACGTGATGGAAGAATTAAGAAAGCAAAAGAATTAATTCCTTCTTAGCAAACCCCCAAAAAGCAACAGCAGTTTTTTTTTTCACTTTTTCTTGCAAGCTTACAGCAGAAAGATGGGAATAGGTTGGAGAGATATCTTTTACAGGCCTTTTGCCTTGCTTTTTATAAGAGGTACAAATAAGCTTTTAAAGGTAATTTCCAATGAGAAAAATCGTGTGAGGGAGAGATCTTTGGTGGGAGAATATTGGGGAAGCAAAATAATTTGCAAATATCCCTTTCCTCATGTGCCAACCTAAAGATGGCAGGATCCGTAAAAGGGAACAGGGGAGGCGGGATACATGAGGAAGAAGCGGGAAGCTTTAATTAGCAAGTTAATTAATCACATAATTAACACCTTAATGTCTTTCCAAAGAAGGAAGTGCACAGGGCTCCACATCCTCAACAGGTCATAGGAGAGGTCTTATACCGTGGTTGCCAACAAACAGGCCGGGGTGTGCGACACTCTATAAGGAAACTTATAAGATATCATTCTAAACTCTTTGTGCACTGAGTCAATCGTTAAAATCATTGAAATTCTCATCTCCAACACTTTTCACATTCATCGGGATTTTTATTGAAGAACACAGAAGGAAGACCTAATTACATTGCTCGAAATTTGTTCTCTTAAAGAGAAGATCTCGCATAACTGCTCTGACGCATAGGTTGGGAAAAAAGCCCACACATAAGTGGGAACTTAAGTGCCCATAGGTCGGCGCTTAAGCTTCGGTTGCCCTATGTAGCGACCAAAGTGGACGCTTGAGCACACACAATGCGTCAGGCGCTCGGTCACTCGGTGTGACTACTAGCTTCAAATTAGGCTCCACAAACCCAATAATTTGAATATATAAATATAAATATTTGAATATATGAGTTTGTTCCATGAAGATGACTACATTGACATTAAAATTTAAACATAGATCTTCATTTTATGTTGATGTTTATGTTTTTCTTTTTTGAATATATATATATAATCTCAAAAATGGTTATTGAGATGTGTGAGTTTTCTTCTAACTCTATGCATACTTAGGATAATGAAAGATTAATATCTTTTTAATAGAAATTTTTAAAAATTTCAGCTTATATACATATCTGTCTGTGTCTGTGTCTGTGTGTCTGTGAATAGGTGTATCCATTAGCATATCATCTCAAATCATCTCAAGCATTTATGGATCATCATTGTGAATTTTTTTAATATTTTTTGGGCTCAATTTTAATATCTTTGGAGGCCAGCAAGGCCTTTAAAATCAATTTTAAGCAATCAAGAGAAGTTTAGAGATATTTTATTTTGTTTTTTTTTATAATTTTTTATTTTAATTAATACATCATTAATAATAATATTGATGCCACCATTGCATAAAACATTTATGCATGCTATTATCTAGACACACTTTCGACATCAACACTAGAATTTATATTATATTTTTTTCTAATACGTGCTACAAATAATCTCTTGAAGATAACTCCAACCCCTCAAATATCCTTCAAAAAATGAATTTCTTAAAAAGAGAATTATTTAGTACCAATGATATATGAGTTAATTATGAAATATTCTCAAATTATGTATATATATATATATATAAGATGTTCATGTAAATTTAAAATGTTAAATTTTGTTTTTTTATTACCATGAAATTATCAAAATTAATAATTTAAATTTAGTTTGAAAGTTTTGGGGTTTTTTTTTTTTTCAATTTAATGATATAAATATAATCAAGTAAATTTTATTTAGTAAAAATGAAGTGGACTAATTAATTGATGTAAGATCGATTAAAATATTATCTTGAAGTATTTTATATTTGACTTATTTAAAATTTCTAATTTAATAATTATGTACTAATCTCACTATAAATTGTTTTCTCTTAATAGGATTAGAGGCTTTGACTTCTCCCATTTTCCTCCCTCAATATATTTCAATGGATGACATTTAAAATAGCTGCAAGATTATTTTTATTCTTTTTGCTTCTTAGCTGGTTTATACACATACCACACAAATGTTACAATTATGAGTCTGTTTGGATGGCAACAACTTTTTTTAAAATAAGGTTTTATAAGAGTGGTTGCGAAAGTAACTTTATAGAAAGCTATGATGAGAATTATATAGATATATATATTCAAAAAATCAGACATCAACTTCATTATAATCTGTCGCATTTTAACATGTCAAGTTATAAAAATCAGACTCCCACCGTAGAAATTATGGCTACCCTCTTGCTCGACCAACTATGATTGTTGGGCTTTTATTTGGTAAGGTGTGCTCATTCGACTATGTTGGATTAAGGTGGCTGGTGGGCCCTCAATTGACTTCGGGTCAACAGGGCTGGTTTAATTGACCAGTTTTTATCGATCGACTGATCTAGTATAACTATGAATGTTGATCCTTAGTGAGAAGCTTCTATTGGTTGAGAGATACTAGGTTATCGGGTAGAGGATGAATCATCGTAACCCGATGGACAACTCACTCCCCAACTAGGATAGTTGAAGGGATAGTTTAGACTTCTTGTGACATAATTATCTCTCAGTCCCTAATAGGAGTCTCTAGAGCGTTCATAGGATGATTAGTGGTACTGAGTAGAGGCTTTCCTCGGATTCAGTTTATTTAAAGAATGATTGCCAGTTTTGATGGGCTTTCTTACGGTGGTTGACTTCATGCCTATCTATCTTGTCTTGGTTCGATGGGTTCGGGCTCGAGCCATTTGAATGCCTTCAACCATGCGAACTTTGGCTCAGATGGCTGCATCCGGTTGTCCTGGCATTGGCTTTGGTTCAGACAACTATGTTCGCTTAGATAAACAGGCCTCCTGAATTTCTGCTGGTAAACCCTCTTTAGCTGTACTTTCTTCCTTCTAAATCATGGAATCTCCCTGAAATTTGTGGTGGCCCATGCTCCATGTAAATATAGTTTTTTTCTTAAATTATAAAGATTGATACGTTCTAATTGTCTATTTTTCAATGATAGAGTTTCAAATTATTTAATATGTGACATTTAAATCAATATTTATTTATTTTAATAATGCAATATGAGTAGTTACCCTACATCTGTATTAATTAGGCTGGTCATCATTTAAGAAAACAAAAATGTTATCGTTTGCTGGTAATAACTTTATGATTTGGGGCATTTACAAAGATACACGCCAATTCCGATTTATTTATGTATCTAATGTCTAAATTTCTTCCACGTAAATCATTCGTCGGCTTATTTGGTCGACCCTATCGATTCGGTGGGCAGAGATCATCCGCTCAGTACCGACCATAGCTCTTTGCGCCCGTCGGGATCTATCACAGTCTCAAGATGGCTAGTTATTTGTTACGTTATTCGGTTGATCCTATCGGTTTGGTCGGTCGGATCACCCGCTCTTTGTCGAATGTGGTACTTTGTGCTCGTCGGGATTGATTCCTCAACACGTGTCTCGTACAAGGCCGCCATATCCGATTCAACACACTTTGATCATACAGTATTTATTTGTCTTTCTAATTTTTTTTTTTGCATCACTCCATGCTCACATATAAACAATTCATAATATATCATAAATATTTTTGATCTGATCTCTCTCGAGAGAGAAAATATAACGTCTGGTAAATTAGACGCGTGGTCGACGCCTATCGGACACACGACGTGGTGTGATACAAACGGTCGTTCATGCATCCAACGTATTATTTTCTCCTCCCCCGTCCTCCCTCGAACAAACTATAATTGCCGTCCCAATGAAATTGATTTAAAAAGCAAACAAAATAGCTTCTTTGAAATTAAAGAAAGAGGCTCCACATGGAGGAGCAAAGCAAAATAGTTGAAGCTAAAGACTAAAACATAGAAATTTGCCGCCCTATCAAATGGATGCTTTCTCTATTGGTTTGTTAGGAGTTCGTTTGGAAGCGTAGAAGAGATAAATCAACAATTGGGATTTGTAATTAATTAATTTGTTATTTATTTATTTTTATAAATTGATGTGAAGTGAAATTCCTGCAAGGTGGAAACGATTAGAAGAAATTTTAGGAACTTTTGCATTTATGCCACTCAATTTTTACATATTTACATATCTAATATCTAAACTTTCAATTTTATATATTTTCCACCTTATTTTTTTTTTAAATTTTGGGCGGTATAAATGTAAGAAAAAAGGTAAATTTTGGATGCTAGATATATAAAGTTGAAAATATGAATTTTTTTTTTTTGTAATATAAATATTGTTTTAAGGGTATCCCAAGTTATATTGGAATGAGGATATGATCATATTATTCATTTGTCATTAATGGAACATTAGGCATGTGATTCCAATGTGTTCAATGCATCATTTTGTAGCCTACTTTGATGATAAAAGATAGATAAGACTAAATCTACTCTCTCTCTTCTTTGTAATCTTTATATTAAATTTATATCTTTTAGTATCTTCTATGAACAAATTTGATTGAATATCCTCGTGAATGCAAATGCAACGAGCGTAAATATGTCAAAAAAAAAAAATTGAACTATATCAGATAATGTCCTTACAATTGAAAGACGTTTAGGGTTGTCTCATAAGAATGATGCAACAATTCACCTTGCACTTTTAACAAGTGGATAAGTTTGACCAAACTTTTTTGTGAAAGCTAAGGGTCTATTTAGAGCAGCTGCAACTATTAAAGAAGCAACAGTGAAATTGTTCAAAAAGTCAGACCACATTTTTCTAACAGCCACAGCGGGTAATCGAATATGGTAGAAAAATACAGCTTTCAGCTGCAGTTTTTTAAGAATGCAAACAAAATGCAATTTCACTAAACTGAAAAAACTGAGATGCGACACCATACCGCCAATGCACTACCGCCCTAAACGCACCCTAAACAAAGATTGATCCATGACACATATTTGGTCCATTGATCTTGGTAGTGTCATAGAGAGTAACATGCAGTCTTATGTTTTTCATTGCAGTAAATAAGAAAATATATATTTGCATTGATATTTCATCAATAAATTATCATTTGTCACGAATCTCAAGGTGGTTAGCAAGAATCTCAGACTATTTTTTTGAGCAAAAAACATTCAAGCTTAGATTAAAAATCATCAAAAACTCCAATTTCAACAAATTTATGATCAAACTGACAAAATTGGTTCAAACCAAGTCAAATCAAGCATGGATCAAGTCATCAAATCACTATTGTAAGCTTGGAATAACTAATTGGAAGCTCATATTAAAATGCAAGATGCATAATTTGGATCCTTATAAAGGAAAGATGGATTCAACCCACCATGTCTCTTGCTTTGAATCAACCTTTGTCCCATCTACAATCAACAATGTGGTGAAGCGTTGACTTTCATTTATCACTTTAACCGCTACCATACAAAATGTTATCCCCTAGTACAATACTCTTTATTTACACAATTACACTAGGATTCATTCACAATTACAATGTTTATGATTCTCCTAAACTAAATTTCTCACAATAATCTTATCTTCATAAAATTGTTTTTTTGAAGTTATATGCATGTGACACAATTTATATTCATAATAAAACATTACATTTTTTTTTCACATGTATTGTATATTATTTTGCATAGCAAGATGACACAAGAAAAATGCATATTCAACAATTTTTTTTTTTTCATTTCTAACAGGGAATATTTGCAGAAAACCCCTCCAAAAACAAACCAGAAATTACATAACGAACTCCCAAAGAAATCACGAAAAATTAAACATTAATAAGTCGCCACCGCCGTCACCGCCGTCCGGTCAACAAACGGTGCCCTCATCCCCACTCCGGCGCCGTTCCGATTCCCGATTCTCCCTCCCTTCTTCCTCCCCTCCTTCTCCCTCTCCTTCCCCACCACCATCCTCCCCTTCCCCACCTTCTCCTTACCATTCCTCTCCCCAACTTTACCCCCCGCCGCCACCCCCGTCGCCGCCACCGCCGCCG